TCCAAGATGCAAAAAAGTAGCCTAGAGATTTAAAGCTGTTTGTAAATATGAACAATAACAAGTCTTATAGCTCTCTGGGTATCAGCAGTTTGAGTGAAATAATCACAGTTAACAGCAAATTCCCTGTGATATAATAAGGTCAAGGATCATACTTATTTTCTACTTAAGGTTTTGCATATGTAAGGTTAGATATGGTGAAGGTGGCACCAGGAATGGCTTTTCTGATTTAATGACACCAAAATGAATGGTGGTTAAAAGGTGCTGGGAATCCTGTACCCTCAGATGGGAGCTAAAGGCTATAATAAAAGACGGCCCAGAAACAATTTTTGGCTCTTTCTCTAAGAAGACGGAAGCCTTGACATAGCAAAATATTTTTTCTAAAGCATAGCTAGGTTGTTGTTACATATGAGATTTGTACCATCTAAGTAGAGGTGTGTGAAAATTAGAGGTGATGTCCCTTTGTGGTCAGAGGAAGGGGCTAGAAAGCAGCTGGAACGCTCGTGTGCCTGCATTACAGTTGTTTGCCTTTCTCCATCCACGGTAGAAGGAAATTTAACTAAATCAAAACTTTTTCAATATTTAAGTTATCCAGCAAGGTGTACCCAGCTTAGTGATTATTGCAAAGCTTTGTGAGGGACTTGTGGGTTCTGTGTTAACCTCTTGTCAAGAGAAAGAAATTGAGGGAATTACTAATGTATTGCCTGTAAATAGTGTAAAATAATGAGTGGGAGGAGCAGGGAATTGCAGAGAATTGAAATCTCCAGGGTTTTGTCTTTCCCTTCCCCCTTGCACCTGGGTGGATCAATAGAAAGGGAGAGCATTTGTGTAATGGCTTTTTTGCCCATCACTGTGTGCTGTTAGTTTGACACATGCAATTTACTTGGAAAAGCTTAAGTAGCCTTAATAACAGAAAGTCCCAGCAGAGCTGACACTAATGGTCTCCCCCGGTTGTCAGTCTCAACAGAGAGATTAAGAACTGAATGAACAAAGAGACCCAATTACTATCTCCCCCTCTGGATGCTGCCACATGAAAACAGGTATGAGCCATGACAGTGGCTCTTTGCACAGACTCGGTCACTCTGCCATGCCCTGGTGTGAGAAGGGTTTTTACTCTGCTCTCAGTTTACTGCCATTACTGAGGGCTGCTGCAACATCACCCAGTCCAGCTTTTTTTGCACTAATAGTGAAGTCCAGTCATGCCCTGATAATGCACATTATTGAATGCTCTTCAGACACACACCATCCAATACACTGTGCTAAACCCAGCCCAGCCATGTCTACCATTTTTCCTACTCAGTTTTGCACAGACAAATCATCTTTTCTTGGCCCAAGCTCTCAGGGAGGTAGCAGAGTGCAGCTCTGCAGCCAGAGACAAACATGTCCCCACTGGACTGGACTTGCAGAAAGGTCTCAAAGAAAACAGAACATCTGTTTGTGTTTTTATCCAGAGCTTGGAGTGATTTGGTTAATAACAAAATATGTGCACCGTCTGCGAATGGCTGCACACTACCCTTTATGAATGTTGTTCCTCAAATATATTACAAAGCACAGTGCCAGCTCTCTTTTGCCTCCTTTCACTAGGACAGGTTTGTGCTATCGATCCAATAATCAGTTTAAAACATTGCTGCTGCTTGTGCTATAATTTTGTGTCTGTTTTTTTACGGCTAACGTGTGGAAGGCTTTAATTGCAACTAATTTCTCAGTAAGACTGGCATTTTTTCAGGAATTTTTATCTTCTGTTTCTCTAGCATGGCAGACCAAAGATTTCTCACCATTAGGAGATAAAAAATGTGTTTCAGGAGGACTCTAGGTGGGCTTTACCAACATAGGGTTTGATCAATGATGATGGACTGATTTTGAAAAATATGTACCCCAGCTTATTCAGTCTTAGTATTGAGGAAAAACATCATCTTTCAGTGAACAGCTGATTTTTGAAGATACTATCCTGTTGACAAACTGTTAAACCAAAACTGTCTCCTCTGGATTTAGAAGATTAAAACCATAATAATAATTATAGCATCAGTATCAACATTGTCTAGCCTTGTCAGTCTTTGCTTTATAGCTCATTGTATTTTCCAACATCACTTAAAATACTTTGCCAGGTACACCAGGTGAATGGTGGAGCTCAACATATTAATATTTCAAAGATAGTGAAATAGGTGCTTTGCATTTTATTAATTGAATGCAATTATATGAACATTTAACTGATGTATTTGAACATATTTCATTGATGGTTCTAGAGAGGAACAATTGCTCTTGTAGAATATAATAACTACTATTTATGCTGCTAAAATATACTTAATATGCATGAAAAATAATGGGTTTGGCTAAAACCAGGTTTGTACAGCTTTGTGTGTTTTTCTGTGTGCATACAGCATACAAAGAAGCACTGCATATTGAATGAATGCAATATTTAATCTAAAGTGAAATGCGTAAAACTCATAGCAGCAGTTCAAAGATGAGGACAGCTTTATTAGTGTTTTAGAGTCATGCTTTCTTAAACTAGAATTCTTGCCTTAATGTGGATAATTAAATTTTTGTTGTTGATCCCCAGCGATTAAGCTCCCTTATATATCACAGTTACAATGTTGGTTTTTTAAGTGATTTGTGCATACATCAAAAATTGCAGGGAGGGGGAAAAAAGTGTTAATAATCTTAATTAACAAAGACTTGCATGGCTGATAAAAATAGAGTAGTATATAAACTTTCTATTCCCACCAAAACAAAATTTGAAATACCTCCTCCGTAATGGACTGGAGCGTATTTTGGGAAATATCTGTGTATTTCTTAAATCATGTGCACTAAGCAAATATGACAGTTTATGAAGAAGTAGTAATTTATAATAAATATTTACAGCCCCAGTGAGGTTTTTGACAACATGGGCTTGTCCCTGGGAGATTCTCTTTTTTCTCCCTCCAGTTCTCTCTCAGCGTAGGAACTTGGCAATTGTTTTGAAGAGAATACTGGCAAAATAAGCTTTTTCATTGCTTGTACTCTCTTCTCCTTTCTTAGAAGCATTTCATCCTTCAGCAAAGGCAGAAGTTCTTTGCCGGCCCTCCTTTGCTAACCCTTCCAAGTTGCCCTTATGATTATGCACAATGTCAGACCATTTAATTGCTTTTTCATCTCTTCTCTTAGTATCTACCCTCACGTCTCATTCCTCTGGATTTGCAAGCAGCATCTGAACCTCTTCCATCATGAAAAAAGACCAGACCATCACCAGTTACATTTGCTCTTCCAGATACCTTCTGCAATTCTCTTATCCCCCTTATTCCTCAGTAGTTATTGGTGGTGCAGTGACTTTTCCAGTCCAGCTTTGCACATTTCATTCTGGGCAGTGTCTTTCACCTCTTCCTCCTCAAATGTTACAATGTGCTCTTCCTCCTCAGCCTCACATCGGCTGTCATCTCTGTGCAGTCCCTGATGTTCTTGATATCCTGCCCGTGCTTTCGTTCTGTGATCTCATACAAGACCCTGGGTACCGTGCCTGGGCTCTTCAACTGTTCACTGCATTGCTGCTGGATCCCTCCTACACTGTCTGCCCATGCTGTCCAATTGCTGCTCTTGATTTTCCTCACAAATACAGAACAGGGGTCTAGTTCACCTTTTGGACCCTTTTCTTTGAACTGAGTTTCAGACTGTGAGTAGTCTTTAACAAGTAATGTGTAAATTAGCAGTATGTTGCATTAATTTCATACTGTAGATACTATTTGCCAGATAGACTATTCATATTGATGTGGAGTTACTTCTGTTAGCATGCAGTTTTCAAAGAGTACAGATAAGAGATAAGATACCCAAGTGAAATCACACTAGCTGTGCTCCCGATGAACCTGCTGAGGTGAATGGAATGACACAGCTAATAAAATTATCTTCAGTTAGACTTAATTATGTTTTGCATTAATGTTTGTCATTTGTTTTTTGTTGGTTTTGGGGTTTTTTGGGTTTGTTTTGTTTTGTTTGTTTTTTTATTAAGAACCTTCTGTTCTTCCAGTTTGTACATGAAATTATAAGAGCACATAACCTATGGAACTTGTACCACCTCTGAAACATTTAAGAACCTGATTTCAAAGTACACCATTTATTCCTAAACAGAAGTAGCATGTAAGTTCATCCAAGCTGTAAGAAGGGATGAACTCTGGAGATGTCTGTCCAAGTTCCGTTTCTTGATTCTCACTTTAGGCTATGTCTTTTTGAACATCATCTTGAATGTTACTATTGATAGTCTACCTGTAGATTAAATAGAGTTTATTTAGTTGGTTCTTTATATTTAGATTGGTATTTCCAATTAACATGAAACAGCGAGGCATATTCACAGGACAGTGACCTTGTCATTGACAACATAGTCAGCAAAACAGTATCAAAAGGTCAAGTCACAGACATAACTAGTGCTTAGTTTTCCAATGCCTTTATGGTTTTGTACTTAAACACATCTGCTGATCTGAATGTATTAGGAAAAAGGATAGCAAAAGCAGCTAAATTATGTGGTGATTTTAATTAGTAGGAAAGAGGGATGGTAAGGTCTTCCAACAGCATTTTCTAATTGAAGTCACTGAACTGGCATTTCAGCAATGATTTCTGCTTCAGAGATCAAGAGAGATTATTTATCCTTAGCAGTTTTCAGCTCTCAAAAGTTCATGCAGGCCAAGTGACTTCCATCATTCATGAACACTGTTGTGAACTTGTCCCTTTACTGATTTTATTGATTTGTCACGTGATTTCTGGGAATAAATTAAGGTCTCTGTTGCATTTTCTTCATCCTTACAAAGCAGTAAGAGTTGCACAATTTTATTTTCAGAGGTCAGTTAGTGGGAGCCAAACTGGAGAGGTGTGGTTGGAATTTGTTTATAATGGGAAGTGGGTGTATAAACCTTAGGAGGAAACGCCTGGGTTTGCCCAGGTGTATGCAGGCAGCTGAGTGCTGCAGAAAACACTGGTATTAAATTTCTGTGTTTCTCAGTCTGCTGTAATTCTCCATTTATGATGTGTTTCTCCTCACCCAGGAGCAGTGTACAGAGACTTGCTGTTGTTGACAACTCTGGAAGGATTGAAGCTGGCATCCCAATAGTCCTTCTCCAGAGGCTGGCTTGCAAGACACAGCTATAAAATGTTCATCAGAAAAAACTGAACTGTAGATCTTTAAGAGTGAGTAAAAAACAAATGCGACCTTTCCAAATTTTTTTCTAAAATGTATAAAATAATGCCATGGAATTTTGCATTTTAGAAATGCATTCTAGTTCCTGGGTAACTAGGGATTGTGACGAGCTTGGACTGAACCTGTGGCTCTGGGTTATGATATTTATGTTACACTGCTGTGTTCTTTGGGGTTTGTAGTTCCTTGCCTCCTATGCTGTCCTTGTACACCTCTGTTGAGCTCAATTTTTGATGACCAGTGGCTTGAGGTCTTTAAAACATGCCATTGAAATGGGATTTCCCTGAGCAGGAGGCTAGTTTATCTAGCTTGAGTTCTTCAAGATAAAGTCAAAGACTGTCCCCCTAGGAAGCCCCATCCTCTGCACAAGGAGAGGCTTTCCATACACTAAAGTGTTTCATTGTTTCTGGAAAACAAGGCACTCTCAGTGCTGGAGGACTAGCTGGTCTTGTGGGGTCACTGACTAGGGCTTAGAAAATTAGACCCAAGAGTTCATTACTCAGATTTGCTGATACTTTCTGCACCGGTTCATTTTTAAATTTCTTTTTCAATCTGAGTGTTTTCCCATGGCAAGTTAGAGTGCTTGCTTCAGATGGTTACTCCAACTCTTTGGTCCCACTGTCCTCAGCTTCCATGATGCACACCTCTGATTGAAAAGGTGAGTGAGTTATTTGAGAACTATTAACTGTCAGTGTCCAAGGAGAGTCGTTTCCCTCATAAAGCATCCCTCATTATCGTGCTACCACCAGTGCACCTTCTGGTCTCACCAGAGATTTTTCCATTGAGATAATCCCTGCACAGATGTCTACTGTCACCCTTGCAAGCCAACATGAAAGCATGATCAGCCATGCCATCAGCATGAAGATATCTTCAAGTTAATAGCACAATACAGTAAAGCAACAGAAAATGCAATCTGGTGTGATGCATATAGCCCATAGAATTGTCCAAACCACCTTATTTTTTAGTTTTATTTTTAAAGTTATTTTTATCCCCCAGACTTGTTTTTCTCAAAGATTTGACTTATTTTGGTACTTTATATTGCGGATGCTGCTAATGAAAGTAATTGCTTTATTCCTGAGGGGACTGCAGCAGGTCGTAAAACAGGATGTAACAATCCTTTAATAAAATACAAATGGGTTTTCAGGTAGAAACCCTTCTCTGTTGCTGCCTAAAATGTTTGTGGGTTTTGGTTCTGCAAGTTATTACTACTTCTGCCCCTCCTGCTTGTGTAACTACAGAGAAATGAGTGTTAAAACAGGACCACTGGGCTCATCACACTCAGTTGTGTTCTTGGTGATTCCAGCTAATGAAAAATAGAAACAGCATTTGACCCTTAATTCACTAATGGGATGGTGGGATAGAAAGGACCTCTAAGCAGTGTGGGAGGGTGTAATAGGCAGGAAATGCAGGAACTTCAAAAGGAGAGAAAATCCACTGGGATTTAGCTTCACTAGGTCCAAAATCAAGAGGATTAAACTCCACTGAGTTGAGTGGCAAGCACTACACTGTAAGAATGGATCTGTGATTCCTGCAAGGCAGAGAATTATTGTTTAAGCTGCAGGAATAAGTCTGAGGATTTGGAGTGTGCTGGGAAGGGAATTTGATCTCTCTGATGCAGTTGCAGGGAAAGACAAAGCCCAGCTCTGGGGCTCTGGGATGCAGAAGTTGATCTGTAGAGAAGATCAGAGGGAATTATTAACTGTGTGGTCGTCTTGACCTGAAGGGTTAACTGGCCTACAGGAATAAGGAGATTTTGACCGTGAGGGGTTTCAGGGATTCTGTAGTACAGAAATACTCCCAGGGGAACACCAGTAAAGTAACAGGCAGAGTCTCACATCCATGGTGAGCCTTGTCACGAAGCTGGGAGTCAGCCAGACATCCCTTATGAGGGTCAAAGAGTTTGTCTAGAAGATCGTGTGGAAAGTTTGCGCAGGGAGCTCAGCCTGTGTAGGAAAACCACAAGCAGTGCAGGAAATAAGCAGAGAATAAAGCTCCATTTTGGGTAAGAAGTAAGTCCTTTCTATGGCACAGAGAATTTAGAGCATGCACAACACCCTCACCTCAGCAGCCAAGTGGTGCTGTTAATTTCTGATTTTCAGCTGGGAGAGCCACTCGATGATGACGATTTCTCACATCTCAGACCACTGTTTCCTGTTCTTGCAGTTGGAACAGCCAATGGCAGTTGTTGAACCTTGTTTTCTCAGGAGGTTTCCCCTTTTTTCCACCTTTCCCACTTCTTTCACCTTTTCAGATGATAGGTTCCTTGGTTTTCTACTTCTTGGTGGTATCTCAGGATGCCTCTGGACACCCAGCTGCCCTTCAAAGATGCTGACTGCCCTTCTCAAGGATCCTGCTGTTTCCCAGACTCACAGTCCAGCAGGCATTTCCTCTTCCAGCACACATATTACATGCCTTCACATGGTAGTCCAGTCAATTTGCTGAGACTGCTGACAAATGCATCCTTTGGTATGTGTTGGAATAATTTTATCATTTATGAACATCTTTGCACTAGAATTGGAGTAGAGACCTTCTGTGGGTGTCATGTAGGATCCTGCACAGCCAGGAAACAGCAGTTTTGGTAGCTGACTTGACTTGGCTACCAAAGCAGTATTGAGCCCATGGTCTCAAGAGGAAAAGCTTTGTCACCTTCAGCTGCTGCTGTGTAACCCAAAACACTGAGCACCACGGGAGGTGTGCAGCATGGAGGCTTTGTGCACTGCATCAGAATCTTCGCTGTCTTTATCCTAAACTCATGGATAGGATAAAGTCACTGAACCTACACTTTTCTCTCCTTATTACAATCTCCTCAGAGATGATTTAAAGTTGCTCCCTAGTTCTTTCAGGTCTCTTGCAAAGTCTGCTGAGGTCAGAGAGAGCCCTCTGGCAGACTTAGCAGGTTTGGTATCTTTCCTAAAGTGTTCCCTGTGTGAATCAGATGCAGCTAATTTAGCTCATCAATAATGTTTTTTTTCTTGGGAGTTACAGCCAGTTTCTCAACAGCAGCACTGGGACATCAGTTCATGGGTTTAGGAAATGAGAATTACTGTCCTAGCTGTGCTGACTGGTTGGGTGATTCTATGCAGAAAATGTGACTTCCATGTCTGCTTCCCTGCTGTGCTCAGTTTCTCTCACTTGCCCATTTTCCAGGGTGTGCCAAATCCCTGGATATTTGTGCTTTGTCTTGCTGTTGCATTACCCTGTGGTGGGAGGCAACCGGAAAAATCTTGATCTCTTGATGGTCATGGTGTGCATCATAACAGGGGCAACTCTCTGGGGGTTGCAGTGGACATACTCAGCACTTCCATCCCTGCTTGTCTGAATACACCTTTCTCCCAGACTGGCCTCTCCATCCCTAAGATTTCAGCCACTGACTTTCAGCTTGAGCCTTGTTAAGCTTTTAATTGACACGCTGCCTGCCAGACTCTTGCTCTCGTGCCAGAAGATGAGCAAAACTGAGGGATATTGTGCCAATGTCCAAACATCTCATGTAGTCACGTTGTCTCCATGATTCAGTGCTGAGCTGGGTGGCACTGGTTCACCTACCTCACCACATCTCCCAGTGCTTTCCCAAGACATCAGCTGTGAGGGTACAGGAGGGGCTGCGTCATCGCTGCTGGCAGCTCCTAAGTCATGATTTTCTTGAAGAGAAAGAACATCTCCAGTGCTCTTTTGCCAGCTGAAAAATATTTTGAAGCTGGTAAATGTGTTCTTTTCTTCTCTGCTGTGTCAGCCAGAGCATTTCTTGATCACTGCCTGGCTGCACATCTTTAATAGTGTGTAGAAAAGATAGGATCTAGCTCAAATAGGAGTTTGTGCCTTGATGCTGGTTAGCATTAGATTATTGTAGTGGTGTTTTCTGGCCTTGAGAAAAAGTCTGTAAGTGTAGGAGTCAGTTTTTCCTTGAAATTTTCTGGAGTGTCTTTTGCAGTATTAACCTGAGTTCCTGTTACATGCTGTCTGGGAGGGTGTGGGGCTGCTTGTGCTAGTAGGGAAGAGGGTTCAGGTCATACATGGGCAGGAGGAGACCTCTGCACCCGCACTCTGACGTGGCAGCAGGGTCCCCAGACTGAATGACAGATACTGTCCAGGCTAAAGATAATCTGAACCCTTGCAGCAGAGGATATGCTATGGGATCAGAAAAGGAAGAACAGCGGAGAAGGAGAGGGAGTTGGTTGTGGAAAGGGTCATGGCACTTTCTGCTCACAGTGAGGTCCTGTAGTCATTTTAATTGGGTCCTGCACAGAAGGTGACAGTGAGGGACAGTTCTCCCATCCAGAAGCCCCACTGTGTGTGAGAGTAACATAAAAACCCCACTCTCCCATGAGCACAGCCATGTGTCTGCTTCGTTCCCAAGGTTAGGCTCTGGCACTTCTGTTAAATAGCAGTCAGCTGGAAAGATCTCCTAACTGGTTTTATGCAAATGGAAGGAGATATGTCATGCATGTGTGTTTGCACACTGGCACTGTCCCCTATCAAACAATAGATATTGTTTTGTCATGTAAATAGTGCTTAACTGACAGGGCTTTCTGGGCGTTGAGCTTGCTTGTATTGAGTGGTTTTGACGCGTGTGTATGCAGGTGTTGAAAGGGTGGGGAGTAACAAAGCTGTGGAACTTCAATGAGATAAGTTAAATAAACCCCCCAAATCCTGTTATATGGGAAGTGATAAGTATATAACTTGTGTGTTGTATAAAGGAAGGTCAGGCTACACGGCAGAGAAGTAAGAGGGGAAGAAAAACAATTGTTCTTGTACAAGATTAGTTGTGTCTAAGCAATGACTTGAAACTGCCTCTGATCTTCATCACTGGTCTCCTTGTGTCCATGCCCCTCTCCAAGAGTGTTCTGCCTGGCAGGTGCAGCTCTGGAGGTTGGTTTTGATGGTACCAAGGCATTGCCTGAGAGCTGCCAGGCAGCTGAGGATTTGCATTGAGTGCAGCCAGCAGTGGAGGCCAGGCAAGGGAGATGGACTGGACAGAGCAGCTGGGGAAGCTGCC